TTGCCAAGATAAAAACTACGTTCGGGATAGGGTATTTGTCTTCTATTGTCTTCAAATTAAGCTTTTCTGAAGTTTATTACTAGGCGTTTTTTTGTGTTCCCCATCGGTCCCTTTTTTATCTACAACCCAAACAGGGTTGTTATATGGAGACCGAGATGGTCGGATTATGCCGTCTCGTAATAACGCTTGTGTTTCTGTATTTACAAATTCGGACACGCCCATTGGGTATGGGTACAATATATATATATATGTATCGGATCTTCATTTTCTGTCCGGATAGTACCAATAATGTTAGTATTGTACGGCAGCGCTTCGTTTGGCTCTGCAAATACACCCGTACGGTTTCCTATTTCCTGTGGTACAACTATATCCTAAACTATTGTAAAATTAACATCTGCACATTTCAAAAATTTAATTTCCTCCGAACTGCTATTAGTTATTAACTTTTTTTCTCTTAGATCAAGTACGACGTCAGTTTTTTTAGTAGGTCCAGTCCAATTATTCCATCAAATGTTGTTAAGTTTGGTAGCAAGAAAAATGTTGTATTAATATTAAAAAGGTGCATTATACATTTTTTGTTTATTGTGTTATTGTGTCATCGTATTCTACTAGGTCATCGTCGATGTTCTCACATTCCTCTTCGGCTACTGCTGGGTATTCATCATATGGTGGGTCGTTTTCTACAGCCAGATGGTTTATCCTCTGGTGTTTTGGTCCTGTATATCTAGCGCTACTACTATTGGGCCTTTTAATCGCCTGCCCCTGACGAATTATTGTTACCGTTGGGTTAAATATTTTGGTAAGTGTTTTGAATTTGCCTTGAAAACGGTCCACTTTGTTGGTTTTGGGTTGGTTGTCTAAAACGGGATAATGAGGGATCAACTTCCATTGGTTGTGTCGAATCCTGTCTGGGTGGTTGTTTTGGTGGTATTCTATTAAAGTGGGTGTTTTTACCATTTGGATTAAACTAAGCGTCTGTCGTTGCACTTCTTTGTTCAGCCCTTTGGTGTTTTTCCTCCGTGCTACGTGCAAAACTACTTGCGAACATGTATCGCTCATGATTAGCGTCTACTTCTTGGGCTTATGGTAAAGCGGAAGGAAGATCGGTTGGTCTTGCCGAAAAAAGAACACCGCTAAGCGATTTCCTTGTGCCCGAAATAAATACTCGTAGCGCATCCGCTCTAGATTTTTCGTTCAGTGAGGCAGCTACCGTGTTGTCTTAGGTCATTATTGTTTTGTATATTAGCAGAGTCAGTTTTTTCTCTACTTCGTCATAGTACTGGAGAAGTGTCATGTTTCCTTGACGGAGTTCTCCTGTTCTAAGAAATATATCGGTCTCTTGTCCGCGTATGTAAAGTCAAGCCTGTTAATAATAGCTTTAAAATTTAAAGGCGTGTCGAACGACGAAAGAACCATATCGGCCGAGCCTTTTATTTTGTTTCGGAGAATGACTAAGGCTTGCTAGTGTTTGGAACTACCATCATATTTTTCAAATACTTTATAGGCGGTATGCGCCGCTTTCCTCCAAGAGACGTATGTCTCATTCTTTCCCTCAAAGTCCGTCAGGGACTTCATTATATCTAACGTTTCGCAGCAAGCGATACCTATTATGATTTCGGCATCCTCACACGTTTGTACTTCTGGTGTGCCGATATTTACACCGCCTAATCTCTTCTGCACATCTTGTAATTTTTTCTCAAAGCTCTTTTCTTGCGCCTTCTTTAATGGATTTTAATTGTTCACTGGTCAGTGCCATGTTGAACTATTGTGTTGTGTCCGCGGTATTTAGTTTTTGAAATCTGTCTTATAATTCACCTATCTCTCTAACGCTCAGATGATTTTTAATTCCTTTCGTATTTAATTTTTTCTAAAAAAGGTTTCCGAACTTGTTTTACTTTTGACTGAGACTCTTAGAAAATCACTTTTTTAATATTTTTAAAATATTTTGCAATTTAAAAATATTGGGAATACATTACATGGTTTTTATTTAATTATAAAACTAAATGTTGTTGCCACTGTCAGTGTCTTCCTTCTTTTAATTCAGTTTCGCTCTTGTAGTCGTTCTTGGTTGTTTCTATTTGGTTGATTTGTTGTTGTTTTTCTCTTTTTTTTACGAATCGAACGCGTTTTTTAAATATTTGTTTTATGTTTTTATTTTAACGTTGAATCGAGGGTCTTACGATCGCGTTTTTTTTTTATTTTACACGGGTCGAGGGTCTTACGACGCGTTTTCTTATTTAACACGGGTCGAGGGCTTACGACTCGTTGGGTGCCAATTAATTATAAGTCCTGTTTAAGGATTTATTTTAAGACGCACTATACTGTACGAATGAGAAGACTTGGTAATTGCGAGGTTTGACCGTCACGATTTATTTCCAAAATCAACTAACTGCTAAGTACAATAATTCTTATAACGAATGCTAGCCCTATGCCCTAGAAGTGCTGACCCGGCTGCTCATGCATGGTCTGGGTAGCCGCCGTTGCAACAGAGTGCATTGCGCTGACCGAAGCTTGGGATTTGGCGACGTCGTTGTGCAACATCCGTAGGTGTCGCTGGTCTTGCATTATTTTAGTCGGTAATGCATGAACAGCTTGGGAACTTCCGTGTTGCTGTGAAACCGTGTTAACTTATATTGTACCCATCAAATAACTGTCTTTTTATATTAATAATTACAGTATGTTTTAAGGGAACAATGGGAAAACGATTAAAAAGTGAGACTCCAAATCACACTGCCACCGTCTAGCGTCTACCCTCAACATAAGTGAAATTCAATACATACATATATGGAAAATTTATTCAGGAGAGCCACGGGGAGCGGCCATTCCTCACCATCACCTTACACCTAATGGTCGCCGGCATGGGCTTCACAAACAGTTTGGCGTCCCCATCCCCCTCCCTCGTCTTGGGCCTCCAGCTCCTTCTGCCGCTTATTTCGAGTCTGATTAATAACGCCCAGGGCATGTTTCAGCTGGCGCACCTTGAACTGCTTAATGGGCCTGATGTGCCGCTCACTGAATTTATGCCTTGCCTTGTCCGCTTCGTTATAAAACTTGCACAGCGGGGTCTTCCAATCCTTGGAGTAGCACAGCCAGGGGTAGAACTGCACATCGGCGCGGATCTTGGTCTTTCTGTTTTGGCCAAAATAATAGCCACATGAATTTGCATATTTTACTAGTTTTGGTTAAATTTCACTTTGTTTTGATCACTTGGAAGAAGACGTTGACGGTAGACGGTGGCAGTGTGAATTGGAGTTTCATAAGGTTATAAGGTTTTGCCGTGCCAATATTCAAATTCATTGGCGCCAATACTTTGGAGTTGCACCGAGAAAACATCGGCTAAATATGGACTACTGACCATCGTGGATGGAGGACATATTTTTCGGTGCAACTCTAAAGGCTTGGCGCGAAAGAATATGAATTGACATGGCGGCCATCTTTGTTTTTGTGAACCAGAGTCCTAGTCGTAAGAGATACTTGAGAGGTTAATGCTCCCCCAGGCGGCTGTTTGAATACAGAGTAGACATAAACCATTATTTAAAAGTACAGATAACCATTTAACCACCGTGGCGGCTCTGTGGTCCACCATCCATAAAAATTCCCAGCCGTTTCGGTTGGATAGGCTCTGTGGGACTGGGCTATAAAGCAAATGAGCCTAATAGTCACAGTAGCGTAAGCAAACTCTTTTGGAGGGGGTCTTTACTTTTCCTTTTTCCTGCTTTATTATTATTTTAATGTTTTGGATTAGTGGTTAAATGGTTATCTAAGCTTTGAAACAATGCATTCGACTCTATATTCAAATTGCTAGCTGGAGGAGCGGTAATCTCCCGAGCACGCACTTCTCTTTAGACTACGCTTCTAGTTAACAGAAACATAAATGGCCGCCATGTCAAATCAAATTATTTCGCGCCTATGTGACAACATACTGTATTTGTATTCAAATTTCTATAATTTCATTCCATATAGTTTAATATTTTGGATTGGAATATAACTGACCATCCAGAAAATGGATGGTGTATGGTGCTAGCTATTAAAGCCAAATTGCACAGAGCACAATACAGCGGAAAGCTTGGAAATTATAAGAGATATGGAAATCGAGACCGAACCATCATCTAACATACAAAAAAAAAAACCAAGGGGTGTCTTAATAAAATTACTTTTCTTAGTTTTAATTTTAAGAAATGCAATTATATGTATAATGACTTAATTATAGAAGGGCTTATCTGAACTTTCAAATAAAAGCTTATTTATTTGATTTACATTTTACTGACTTGGGAAACATCTCTTCCGACCACGCCTGGAATTAGGCCAAGTAAACTCAAATTTTTCGCCGCCAAAAATTTTAAGATTACATCGAAAAGATCGGCTAGAAACGTTAATTAACAATGTAACTGGTAAAATTCTGGAAATGTAAATTTCTGCAAAGCCATTGTGCTGATGGTTAATGTGTTGGTCCTTTTTACGCGAGTTTCATATCGTTATCGCAGTTACCGCAATTAAACTCGGGTATATGCGCTTCGCTTTGGGAATATGTTGACTGTTTTGTTTTGAGTTGTATATAAAAACATAACTAAATCTGGGAAAGCAACGGTGAAGCTTATAAAAATTATATTTTAAAATTTAATTTAATTATAATATAATACATTTATTTCATATTCCAGCCATTACAATGATAAAATTAAAATCTATATCCTCCCGCCCTCGTTTGTCAGCTGTTATTTGTTTAGTTTGTTGTTGTTAGAGGTGATAGTGGAGCGATATGCCAAATACCGAGAAGATACTGCCTGAAATTTTAATACTTTCTGCACGGCCATAAATAAAAAAATTACGGACTAATATATTTTAAGTATTATTTAGTTGCAGTCAAAAAAATATTTTTAATTTCTTTAAATATAACACTATATTTCTATAAATAAAATAAGTCTCAAAATTACGAAACTGATTTAGAAAGCTTTGTAGGGTTGGGGAATGTCATAGATAAATTAAATGCACTTTGTAAGTAAGCCTTGAAATACATAAGCCTCAAACAATAGGCACAAACATTTTGAAATAAACATATGTACATCCAACCTTTTGCTTCAATAAAACTTTAGTGTATAACAAAAATGTATTTTTGTGCAAACTTAACCGTGAATGTGGAAATAAATGGCCAATACAAGTGACAAGTTGAATTAATAATCTGTCCTTCCTCAGTTGATTTTGAGTTTTTGTTGCGGATAGTAGTTGCATTAAATATTTATGTACGTGTGTACATATATTTCTGTGTTTAACTTAATTTTTGTTTATATTAAATAAAAGACAAAAGTTATTTTTTAAGTTAGTTACTCCATAGTTTGACAGTACCAGATTTTAGAAGATACGCAAAAGGTAAATTGAGCAATCAGACTTTACTCACGTTATGTACATATGTACACATACATATGTAAATGCGCATGTACATATTTACATTCTTGTTTGTGTTATTTGGTGGTATTTTATTATTGTACATATTTTTTACACAATAGTTTTTGTATGTACATATGTATGTATGTTCAAAGGTGAAGGAATTGATATGTACATATGTACGCATGATTAAAATAAATACGTTTGTAACGTTCATATAGCACTTACAGTTCACGTCACAAGCGTAATCATTAGTTTTATCAATATTAGAAAAAAGGGAAAAGAAAGAAGGTTACTGTTCATTTGCTAAATTATATATACATATGTATATAATACACATACATATGTACATTAATGTTGACAAATAAATTGTTCCTCTAACCAAAAGCTAGACATGTTAATATACATACATATGTATATACTTATGTACATAAACGTATGTACACATAAACAGCATAGGCTAAATTAAGTTTCCATTCTTGTTTGGTACACCCTTGACTTACTTACATACATACAAATGTATATAACAAGTATGCGCTGAAAAGTTAGTACCATGTTTTTAAGTACTTAGTACAATCAACAATAGTGATATTAAAAATCAGGGACCGTAAAAATTATTCATTTTATTGAAGAAATTTAAGGGGGCAGGATTGTTTGCAACTTCAACAACATTTCCGAAATGTCCTGTGAATATTTCTTGTCAATCGGACTACAACTCTCTGAGATACCGATTATCTCATATTCGTGATCAACTCAGGTGGCGATTCTGGGCAACTGCTTTTTTCAGGCGGTCCATTTGCTGACAGTACAAAACCGAATTAAGTGTTTGGCCATAGGGGAGCAGCTCATAGTAGATAATTCCTTTCCAATCCCACCAAACACACAGCAAAACCTTTCCGGCCGTCAATCCTGGCTTAGCCACCGCCTGGGCCGGCTCATCCTTTTTCGATCATGACAGTTTTCGCCTCACGTTGTCGTAAGTGACCCACTTTTATTACCAGTCACCATCCATTCAGCAGCGATTAGCAGATCGGAAATCGGTCCAAAAACTGTTTTTTTGATAGCTCATGTAGCATACCATACATCGAGTTTTTTTGTGTAGCCAGCTTTTGTTAAATGGTTCCAAACTATTTTTGAGCAATGTTTAGCTCCTGGGCCATTGATTTACTGGTCAGATTCAACGATTTCCATTACTTTATCGGTATTTTTGACGATTGGCCTTCCGCATCGAGCTCTCAAAGCGTTTTTGTTATCGATAACAAATACTTTTCTAAGAAACTTTTATAGTTCGAAAGCTTACCATTCTAACAATTCTAAAATGAAATCGGGCTTATACAACGCGAGATACAGATCACTTAAGTCATCTTTTGTTCAAATAATGGATTACATTTTACTTGACCTTATATTAAATAAGTCTATTTAATTTTTTTTTTTTAATATCACTGGGAGTTCAGTCTTTCCGCACCGCAAGATGTCACTTTTTTAAAGAGACTTCGACCGGCCGCCGCTACGGGACAAATAATAAATAAAAAGAAAACAAATCCTGGATACTCTTGAAATATAGGCATTTACCGGACCGCTTCATCCAGATATTTTGCCTACACAGGCATTTTTTATTTCAGCGTGACGAATGGGAACATTTAAAAAGTGTATTTATTTAGCTGAATGCTTATTCATATTTCGTCACAAAATTTGATATCAGACATTTTATATGTTGAAGGTGCGATCGGCACCTTTTTACCTCGTTAAGAGGTGTTTTTGTTTGATATACTTGTAAGAAGTTTTTGTTTGAAATATAGTCAAAGTACCCCAACATTGTAGCCATGGTTTAAAAAAAAAAAAACTTTTACCGATGCTTCAGTACTAATTTTGTTTTAACAAGCTACTTGAAAGCTTAACTAACAAGAAAGGAAGCAAAATTCGGCAAGTCCAAGTTTATATATCCTTGAAAGTATTCCAAAAATTAAAAATTTTTTAAAACAACAATATTTAGATTTTTATGCTTTTATGTTTTACCAGCAGCTATTTGATATCGTGGTCTGATTTTAATAAACCATTACTTTGCATCAAAGTATATTCAAATCAATTGGAAAACAGCCAAATTGTAAAATATATTTTCCCATGGGAGCTGTATGAAATAGTCCTCCGATCCGGCTTGTTTTAACTAATAATTTTAAACTGATGGGATAGTTTGCGTAGAATCGAGTGGTCAAACAATCGGACCTGCCTAGATCGACTCTCCTAATGATACTGTTATGGTCGGGATTCGGGAATGTGTCTTTCTGACTGAAATTAAAATACCATTTGTAAGGATTAAGAATTAACGAGATTATCTGGCCCTATAGAACATAAAATTAGAAAAACTTCGTTGTTTTTAAGATATTTGCTTACATCTTGCTTATTTTTTGGAAAGTATCTGATTTCAAATAAGTTTGCTTAAATTAAGATAAGTCTGAAATTTAAATTAAAAACAATAATTAATATTTTAAAACTATTAAATGAGAATGTTTCTTCCTTTACCTTTTTTTATAGCATTTTGTATACTTTTAGGAGGAAATTCTTGGCTAAACAGCGTTAGCTTCTCCAAACTCAGGAAAGTAGCCGATTTCGTTGCTTAATAACTTTCAAATACATTCATTGTATATACCAAAAGTTTGGGAATCTCAAGGGCTATAATCGTGAAAAGTTCAACAAAAATCGGGTCTAGCAACTTTTAAAAATTTTCAAAAAAGTACAAAAAAAAAAAAATTAAATAAATTTTAAACTATTTTATTTAGACCAATTATATCAAGGCTTAGTGATTAGAATTTGACAATACCTTTTTAGAAGGAAAAGCCGTGCAAAGTTTAATATTATTAGCGAATTCCCGCTAAATAAGCTAGTTTTTCAAAAAGTCGTTGAACAAACATTTGTTGTAAAGTTTTTCTGCCCAGCACAACAGAAATTATTCCAGATTTCAAAAACAAGTAATTAAAATTTTTTTAAATTGTCAAACGACAAGGAAAAAAGTTGTATTTTTTAAATATACCAAAAAGTATTTTTTTTAATAACTTTTGAGCGGAGCATCGGTTCCAGGCAAATTTGCTGTTATTCATTTTTATACCCTTGCAGAGGGTATTATAATTTCAGTCAGAAGTTTGCAACGCAGTGAAGAAGACATCTCCGACCCTATAAAGTATATATATTCTTGATCAGCATCACTAGACGAGTCGATCTAGCCATGTCCGTCTGTCCGTCTGTCAGTCTGTCCGTCCGTCTGTCCGTCCGTTTCTACGCAAACTAGTCTCTCAGTTTTAAAGCTATCTGCATGAAACTTTCCCAAAAGTTGTCTTTCTATTGCAGGTAGTATATAAGTCGGATCGAGCCGGATCGGACGACTATAGCATATAGCTCCCATAGGAACAATCGGAAAAATTAATAAAATAAAATTATAACTTTGGTGTTTTTTAATTTTTTTTTTAGTTTTTCGAGGTATAGTAATGGTTAAATATTTCAGAATTACGGTTTAAATTTCATCAAAATCGGACGACTATAGCATATAGCTCCCATAGGAACAATCATAAAAATAAATAAAAAAAACTTATAACTATGGAGTTTTTTAATTTTTTTTTTAGTTCTTCGAGATATAGTAATGGTTAAATATTTCAGAATAACGGTTTAAATTTCATCGGACGACTATAGCATATAGCTCCCATAGGAACAATCGTATAGCTGCCAGGAACTATCGAATAATTAAGCTGCAAATCATCATAGCTTCAATGTTTTTAAACATACGCAAGTAAATCATAATTTTAATGTTTTCAAGAATATTTAGTTTTTGAAATAGCTGCAAGGGTATATGAACTTCGGTTTGCCGAAGTTTGCTTCCTTTCTTGTTAGTATGTCACTTTCACTGCCCCTTTTTCCGCGAACAATCAATTATCCTTAAGTCTTGGTGTGCAATTCTTATTCATTTAGCTATACCTTTCGATTGGTGTATTAGTCGTCACGATCGGACCATCACAGCAGAATTTCAGTTCGGCGGCTATATAATATGTAGTACTCTCCTATGCACACGCTCTTGGTGCGCATCGTCACTACATATACTTTCGTCCATAGTGATATTTGATCTACTCATTAACTCCTCTCAGATGGTGTGTAATATGTGTGCAAAATAAAGTACACCTGTTATATTTACTCTGTGCATAAATATATATGTGTAGTAGGTTAAACAATGTGAGACCGAACTCAGTTTCTGAACTTTGAACAACTGAGTTGGCCTTGAGAGAATGGCGTCTTCATGCTCAACTGACAACTTCTGACTTCTTGTACTCCACTGGACTTACGATTGAATACATATACTTCATAGGGTCGGAAATATAGCCTTCACTGTGTTGCAAATTTCTGACCGAAATTACAATACCCTCTGCAAGAGTATAATTAGAAAACTGTCTTTTTATTAAACAAAGAATGCACTTTAAGGGAACAGACCTTGAGCAGAAATTTTTTTTAAATTGTCAAACGACAAGGAAAAAAGTTGTATTTTTTAAATATACCAAAAAGTATTTTTTTAATAACTTTTGAGCGGAGCATCGGTTCCAGGCAAATTTGCTGTTATTCATTTTTATACCCTTGCAGAGGGTATTATAATTTCAGTCAAAAGTTTGCAACGCAGTGAAGAAGACATCTCCGACCCTATAAAGTATATATATTCTTGATCAGCATCACTAGACGAGTCGATCTAGCCATGTCCGTCTGTCCGTCTGTCAGTCTGTCCGTCCGTCTGTCCGTCCGTTTCTACGCAAACTAGTCTCTCAGTTTTAAAGCTATCTGCATGAAACTTTCCCAAAAGTTCTCTTTCTATTGCAGGTAGTATATAAGTCGGATCGAGCCGGATCGGACGACTATAGCATATAGCTCCCATAGGAACAATCGGAAAAATTAATAAAATAAAATTATAACTTTGGTGTTTTTTAATTTTTTTTTTAGTTTTTCGAGGTATAGTA